GTAATAGCACATAAATCACTGCTGTAGGTTTCATGAGAGTAGAGGAGGAGAGGGAAGAGGAAAGGAGAGATGAGCTGCACACTGAAGTTAGCCATACAGAGGGAGAAAGAGAGCAGGCGTACAGCAAGGCAACAATGGAAAAGAGGGAAGTAGCTGGAAGAACAAATTTGGTACTTTTTGTTTTGGTGGTACTGGGGTTTGAACCTGGTGCTGTGCACTTACCAGGCAAATACTCTACCTCTTGAACCATGCCAGTTTTTTTTTGTTTTTTGGGTGTGCTTTGCATAGGGTTTTGCATTTATGCCTGGGTTAGGTTGGTTAGGTATTCTCTTATCTGTTTCCTACGTATCTGAAATCACCCACAACTTTTTATTGAATGGAGTCTTCAGAACTTTTTGCCTGGGCTGGACTTGAACTGTGATCCTCCCAATTTCTGCCTCCTGAGCAGCTAGAATTACAAGGATGAGTCACCATGCCTGGCCATATGGAACCATTTCTGACAAAACTATTACCTAGTGTTATCTAGCCATTACCGCATGCTGAGTATGTCTATAGCATGCTACTTGCATTCACTGGTTGAATTCTCTCATTCTCAGGAGAAGGTCCACATTATCAGTACTCCCACTTAACAGACGAGAGACCTGAGGCCCAAAGGGGTTAAGTAACATGTAGAAGATCAGACACAACTATCTTCTGGCTCTGTTTTTCACCTCTAGTTTACTACAGAGACGAGAATATATCTAGAAATGAGTTCAGTCACAGCTGGTTGCCTTGCTTGGACTTTGATCTTCTGAGCGAATTCTTCTTAGGTAGCTCTATGCTTTCACCCATGGATAGATGACTGTTCTAATCTCCCTTCATCTCTTCATCCCTGGGGCAGAGTGCTGGGTGAATCTTAAAGATCTGGAGGCTTACCAAAAGCTTTGTATTCCTGGGGCAACTGCAGAACGGTTAAATACACATTTGTACCTTTGACTGTAATAATAAGCTAATCTTCTGATGGGATTGGAGAGATAATTTGGGGGTGTCAGTTCTCTGTTGGCCTCTACAAGAAGAGATCAAGCCTTTGGCTTTGTAACAGAAATAATGTAACCACTTGCCCTTATCTCCAGGCCTTTGTGTTTTATTCTTGTAAAAATAATAAAGTTCTCTTGAGAGACAGGGACAGAAGGTACGCATTGTGTGTTGGAATTTGTGTCTTGGTTGATGTCTCCATGAATCGTGTTAACTGTGTTAGTTCGCTAGTCACTGCAGCAGCCATGGCCTTGGGTGTGGGCTGCAGGTGGAGAGCGCTGACTGGAAGGGTGGCTGGTATTGGCTGGGCTGATAAGAAAGGAATTTGACTGTCCTGAGGGAGTTTCTGGTCCCACTGATTTGTCCTTGCCTCTGTGTCCCCAGTTCCTGGCACTGGAGGATTCTGATTTAACTCTGTAATACTCCATGGTGGCTTGGCAGGGAATGGTAGCCATGAGGGCTTCAGCACACTGGTTATGGTCGTCAGGGTCATGGGGAACATGGACCATCTGTCCATTTAGGGAGATTTCCTTCCTAGGCATTGGCTTATGTAGCTATAGGGAGGGGTAAATGGGGTGGGCCCACAGGCTGGAGATTCAGGTACAAACCAGTGTTACAATCTTGAGTTTGCAGGGAGGGCTGAAAGTTGCAAATGCAGGTTTTGCTGGTTTAATGCAGTGAGTACTTTGTGTCCCTCCTAGAGTCTAGCCCAGAACACTTGTCTGAGAGAAGGCAACAGGCACAGATTCTGAGGTCAGACTCTATTTTGAGTCACACTGATGCAGTGTGATTTCAGCTATGTTGTACAACCCTTTTGAGCCTCAGTTTCTAGTCTTTAAAATGGCCACAGTGTTACCCACTGCAGGAATTTTGTGAAGACTAAATCTGAATAAAGTATTTAGAATCTGAACTCACACAATCAGCATTCCAAAAATGTTAACAATTCTTATTTTTTCTGAACTCATACGGACAGGGTGTTCAGTTACAGGAGGGAAGTAAGTACACCATGATTGATTATTCTCTGAAAGTTTTATAACCCCAAAATAGAAGAAAAAGGCATATTTACTGGAAAGGTTTAGGTTGTTTTTAGATAAGTAATATGTTTATTCTCCTCAAAGAAGCTGAAAGAATCAACAGAAAGATTTTAGAGTGAATAAATGTGGCAGGATGGACATTTATAAAGGAAATGCATAAAAACAAAACTTTCTTTACTATTTCTCATTGGCTAGAAAAAATAAATGGATCAAGGCTATCAGATTTAAGGGGGTTTATCTAGTCTTCCTCAATACATACAATCATGTGCTTCTTAAGAATTTAAGAGTTATGTGTGTGTGAGAGTGACAGATTTCCTGTAGTTTTTCTTGAGTTCTTCAGATAAACTTATTTTGTCCTGTTATATTATTTGCATATTGCTTAATTTTGCTTGCCTACTGGGATTTGAATTCAGGGCCAGACAGGTGCTCTACTATTTGAGCCATGCTTCCAGCTTTTTCTCCTTCCTTCCTTCCTTCCTTGCTTGCTTGCTTGCTTGCTTGCTTGCTTCCTTCCTTTTTGCTTTTGTTAGCTTTTGATTAGGGCCTCAAATCTTTGTTTCAGCCTGCATGTACTGTGATCCTCCTATTTACACTTTCTGCATAGCTGAGGTGACAGGTGCATGCCAGCATACCCAGATTTTTATTTAAATTTCAATAAATTGATTGAGATGGAATCTTGTAAACCTGTGCTCAGGCCAGCCTCAAAACACAAGCTCAGTATAGGGAGGCTGCTGTGACTTCCTAAGGGATACCATCTTCAGTTTATTCAGGAGACTAGAATTTCAGCACAACTGCCCTACATGCCTCAAGCTGCACTGGAGAATTCTAAGGGGAAATGAGTACTTATTCAGAATGCAGCCTTGCTGTTCTTTGAAGGGACAAGTAATGGGACCAGTGGGCTCTTTCTGAAATCCTTCAGTACTTGGGATGTCTTGTGCTTGCCCTTCTGGGCTCCATAGCACACATGTTCTATACCATTTATTTGACATGTACTGTTGATGACTTACAACTGAGGATAATGGGTGTTACAGAAAACTGGAAGGTGGAAGACTGGGATTTACTGTTTCTAATGGTGTCAGTCTAGCCATGTCAGGTTCTCTGCTTTTGGGTTTCCCCTCCTTTGCTCTGGGGGGAGCCCATGTGCTTGATGGCTGCTACCTGTCCTAGGGGGCCATTCTCTCTTGGCAGATCTAATAAAAGACAGTTTCATAATGCAGTTCAATATATTAGAATTTTTTTCATAGTATGGTCACAAGAGTTGGAAGGGTGTTATTGTTAGGGTTTTTGAGAGGTGTGTGTGTGTGTGTGTGTGTGTGTGTGTGTGAGTGAATAAAATCTTGCAGAAATCTGTAGAAATTGCAAGTTTCTATAAATGAGTCGTGTTGTCTTTTTGTTGAACTTTCCCTTTCTCCCTCCCGCTCCTGTTCCTTTCCTTTTTACAGTTCTGGGGTTGAGCCCTCATGAGTCCTAGGCAGCTCCATACCACTTATGTGTATCCTCAGTGGTATTTTGCCCAGCTTAGTCTCTCAGTCTTACAATCTTCTTGCTTCCCAAGTTGCTGGGTTAATGGTATACACTACCATACCCAGCTTTAAGTTGTTTTGAGACTAATACCCAACACATGGAACATGTGAAACAATCAAGTAAACTAATCAGGGCAGAGGGCAGGGCTCCCAATAATTTGAAGGGCATCTGAGTGAAGATTCTTTACGGACAAGCGGCTGCTGGGCCAGAGGATACTGAATTCAATATAACCAATTTCCTCCTTTGTTTAAATGAATAATAAATTAAAACCAGGCCTGTCCGTATCTGGTTTCAAGAAGTAAATATATATATATATATATATATATATATATATATATATATGTATGTATGTATATAATGGGTGCAGTCACTACCATGAATTTAGAACTACTGTATTTTTGTCGGTTGTGGGGCTTGAACTCTGGGCCTGGGTGCTGCCCCTCAGCTCTTCAGTTCATGGCTAGCGCTCTACCACTTGAGCCACAGTGCCACTTCCAGAACTACTTATTCACAATGTACGTGGGTGAGTTCTATGTTCCCCTCCTCCTAATACTAGGAAGCCAGAAGACATTGACAGGATCTATTACAAATTAGCCCTGACAGGGAAGAGAAGGATGAGAAGAAAACCGAGGCACTGTGATCCACTGTGCTGTCTCAGTGTCACCCCTTTCAACGTTCTCCACTCATCCCTCCCCTCCCCACTCTGCTCTGTTTAATTTGGTAGGGTATGCATTGGCTTCTTGACTGCATTCTCCCTTTCTTCTCCTCTTCATTTGTCCCCCCCCCCCGACTCCTTTTGAGTATCCACTTCCTGGTCATTCATTTTGCTGAACTTGGAATCTACCATATTTCAGTTAATCCATTTGTATATACTTGCATATCACTTAATGTATTTACCGGTAAGTGCATAAGCTAAATAGAAGTGTTTTCTGATATATTTCCATCTTCCTGGAACAGTGTAAGAGGAAAGCCATAAGAGCCTTGAATTCATACACTGGGCAGAATGTCCTGATGTTCCTTTTCCCTTGATATGTAAAGAAAAAAATAGCCATGGGAATGATCAAATAAGACTATGTTTTTACATTCTGAGAATTTCACTTCACGAGCCCAGATTAAAAAAGTTTCCCAACTTGGTCAAGCCTATGTACAGAGTCTGTGAATGGAATGAGCTGATGGAACATGGCGGTAAAATGCATGTGCTAAGCCATCAAGGTCCAACTTTCTTATTTGGTTTCCTTGGAGCCCTGTGATGTCTGCCACATGTCCTGTTTCAGGATAGAGTCTTACTCAGTGTAGCTTTGCTTGTAGTTCTGCTTATCAGGAACCTCTTTCAGGTGATGTATACCAAAACTTTCAAGCTGATTTGACAACATAGGGGTATCTCCACTGATGCCCTGACACCAGGTGTTTTCTTTCCTCTCTCCCTAGGCGTGGCAGGAAGCACAGCATCATCCTTCGGACACAGCTGTCAGTGAGGGTCCATGCCTGCATTGGTGAGTGACCTTAGCTTCTGTACTTGGTGATCAAATATGATGAACAGTATTCCCCTTATTAAGCACTGTCATAGTCATGTGACTGCTTGGGTTAGCTCCTCTCTTGGATTCCTGATTTCTAATGGAGCCATTCCTAATAATAAATCTTAGAGCCCTGTTTCTAGCCTGGCTTTCTTTGCCCTTGAGGTGGTGGCCAGAGGTCAAGGTAAGACAGATAATTCATGAACTTCTTTCTGGCAGTGCTAGAAGAGGTGAGATTCTTCCTGGGCTGTTGCCAATGTGAGGCTTTAGCCTGTGGGAGTGTCTCTTCATGGATGTGGCTCTGTGAAGATTGCTTAGGGGAAGGAGAGTCTAGGGCCCCAGATGTGGTCAGATGATTGGAAGGAAATCATGATGGTGGAGGATGGGATGAAGTAAGCAAGTATATTTGTGGTTCAGAATGGCTTGCTTGCTGTCACTCAAGAATGCCATGGGGGCATTTCTACAGATGTTGATTTTCCAAGACCTTTTGTTTTCCCTGTATTTAGACAAAGTTCAATGGAGGGAAACCAATTACTTAGACTAAATAGACAAACCAAGATGAATGGTCTTTATCATTGTGGTCTACTTTCCTTGTGGGGTTGGGCTAAATTGAAGCAAAGAATGCAGTATCATAAATCTGAGTAATTTTACTTTTATTTACTATTTGCTGTGGTTTTCTGGACTCTAAGGAGGAGAATATGTCACCCTGCTGAGTCTCAGACCACACTTGGAGTGGAGTATTCATGGGTGGAATGGCCCCTCCTCCATTTTTTTTTATTGGAGACCAGGAACACAGCAGGGAGCAGCTGGATATAACTAGGAATCTGTGTCCTTTCATTTGGGGTAAAATGTGATGAGTCTGCAAACACCTAAGTGACAGCATTTGTCTCTGTGGCCACAGAGATTGTGTAGGTTACTTGTTACTCTTGCAAATGAGATGTTGGGATTTGTAAAGATTTGAGCATAGTAATGTCTGTAGGAACAACAGTCAACATGGACAATTCTGCTTTTTTTTCTCTTGTTGGTTGTGGGGCTTGAGCTCTGGGCCTGGATGCTATCCCTGAGCTCTTCAGCTCAAGGTGAGTGCTCGACCACTTGAGCCACAGCACCACATCTGGTTTTCTGGTGTTTTATTGGTGATCAGAGTCCTGGACTTTCCTGTCAAGGATGGCTTTGAACTGTCATCCTCATATCTCAGCCTCCTGAATAGCTAGGATTACAGGTGTGAGCCACCAGTGCCCTGCTACAATTCTTTTTCATTTCCAGTTGTACTGATCAATGGTAAAACATACATGGACACTAGATTACTGAGTTGCTTTTTCTTTACCTGTTTTATGTTTTCCTAGTCATTTCATATGTATCAGGCATATTTCTACCTAAAGAAAAAAGCCTGTCACCTATCTTCTTTGGACAAACTTCCCTTGGCCCTTACCCCAAATTGATAACAAACCTTAGCACTGCACAAAGGCTAGATACCATGGAAGTTCAACATTGAATATACCTGACAGCTACTAGACATTTGGAATATGACTGCAGACTGGCATTCCTTAGGCATAGAGAGGCAATGGAAACTAGATCTGTACATCAAAATCAGGATGAACTAATTCCTTTGAAGGAAATATAATTTTTTATAGTACATACTTAAATATTTCAAGTGACAGAAACATTTCCATGCAGCTATCACTCGGTTGACTTGCTGCATTAACGTCTGTATCCTTCAGCCCTGTGATTTTGATGTAAAACATGGGTCTCTTCTTATGGTGTGCTGGGCCCAGTCTCTGCTAGAGCACTTTTGCCTTCCTGCCAGGGGTTAAATCAGTTGCTGACACATGTGATATGCTTGCTCTCTTCATATCTTTCTTTCTGCCAATTATACTGGTCTTTGGAATTGTGTGATTTAAGGAAATAGAATCCCTCTCTCTGTATATATGTATACACATATATATGGATATGTATATATCCATATATATATGCATACATGTGTATACACACATATAGGGCCTTGCACAAAACTAGGCAAGCACTCTACCACTAATACCACTGATTTATATCCTTAGCCCTGAAATGGTACCTATCCATTTTACAAACCAATTAAATATGCAATATAAAAAGTTATGACTTTGAAACTTCATTGACTTTTTTGGAAGAGATTCAAAATTAGTCATCACAAAAGCATTTCTGTCAATATAGGTGAGTTATGACAGCTATAAAGAGCAGGGGCATGTTTTAAAAAAATCTAGGACTCTGTTGTTTACTAATGCTTTAGTTTTTGCTTGAAACTGAGACAGGAATCCATAGATCATGTTGTTCTAATAGTTCCTATAAGAAGGTCCACACAGACTTCCAGTTAGCAGACCATCTCTTGAAGAACCATGTATGCCTCTGCATAGGTAAATCAGGGCATTTGGCCACCATAACTGGAAGTGAAAAGAAAGTTTTAAGGTATGTATGCATTGTTTTTTGAAAGATTTTCTGTTTTCATAGTTTTTACCCACAACGATCTTAGCTTGAATATGTCCAGCAGGGAAGCTATGATTGTATATATTAACAGTAATACCCCAGACAGAAGTTGTTCCTTTGTACTAAAGATACTTTTACCCATGGAATTTTCTACTGTTGGCAAGATCTGAAATAGATTTGTTAAGATAGCACTATAAATAGTATCCTTTGGTTACATATAGAAAGTGTACTGTGTACATCAGCTTGTGAAGTACTGTCATCCATTGTGACATATTTCTCTTTCCAGTATTAGATGGCAATATTAGATAGGATTTGTTCGCTATAAACAAAACAAAACCAGAAACAATTTACAGTTGAAATGATAAAGGAAATATAATAAGAGAAAAAGGCCTTTTACATCTATTGAGCCTCTTATATCATTTCAAGATTGCATTTCCTCTGTTTACCATATAAGACCTAGGTGGGCTTAGTATCACGTACAGTGCCCCAGAGATCTCCTTTCCACCCATGATTGCTCAGGAAGGATCCAGAATCAGCTTTTGTCTCATGGGTCTAAAGTGCTAGCAAGTCATTTTCTCCACAATAATCTTTTGTTCGCCTTACTTTCTTTCCCCTTGCATTCCTGTTCTTATTGTATAGAAATGTTTGGGATCCAGGACTGGATGCTGATGAATTGGAGGTGACATGCTTTTGGAATTCTCCAGTGTTAACTTTGGAACCCTGCACCCGTTGGGAGGAGAGTAGAGCAGTCTTCCTGGTTAAAGAACCCAGCAAAACTCTAGAGAAAGGAAGACCACGGGGGCTCTGCTTTGATGGTTGCAGCCAGCAGCCAGACAGGTCTTTTTGATATCACAGCGGTTCTGACTCACTGGCAGGAGTTTGGAATTAGATGTTGGTAGAGAGAAGCTCCAGGCCTTTGTAGCTTTGTGCTCCTCTCAGCTGTGATTTTTCTCTTTGTATGTTTTTAGTATGAACACTTGATATAGCAATCAATGTATTACTTTCTTAATGAGACTTTGAATCCTTAAAGAAATGGAAGTATTGATGATCCTCTTGGCTGTGAACTTCTAGATAAGAATTTTTTTAAAAAAATCCTTCAAAGGCATGAAAAAGACTGCATTTTACAAGTGTAGAACATACATTTTTTGATCTCCCCTCTAGCCCCAGTGATCTTATATTGACACCAGAAACATGTTCTAAGGGCCAGCTGGCTCTGATGACTAAATCCCATTGTGAAGTGAAAAGAAGCTAAAGAACTGTGGGATATTGGATAGAATCTAGGAGATGCTTTAAAAGGAAAAGTTGAAGTCATTAAAATCCTGAAACTTACATGTGTTTTCTACTGGCTGTCTTATCCACCTTTTTTTTTCTCTCACTTGTATTGAAGCTTGAACTTAGGGTTTGGGCACTGTCCCTTAGTTCTTTTTTAGTCAAGCCTGGCACCCTACCACTTGAGCCACAGCTTCACTTCTAGCTTTTTGATGGTTAATTAGAGGTAAAAGTACATGACATTTTCTTGTCCTGGCTGGCTTAGAATTGAGACCCTCAACTCTCAGCCCTTTGAGGATCTGGGATTGAAGGCATGAGCCACTGGTATATGGCTAGCACTTTTATTTGACTTAAAACATTTGTGCTTCATTTTTCTGAAGTCAGTCTTACCTTCCCACTAAGAAAATAAATCCTCTTGATTAATTCTCAGGGACCCAGAATGTCTGTGCTCATGAAGATTCATCATTGAGTTAAAAGGGTAAAGTTTGAAGATACCCAATTATACTTCAGTTGTGAAGGAACAGCTTGTGGCAGGTCTTTAGGGGCATCATCCCAAAGCCTCCATGGCAATGAGGTGGGTCCATGAAGACAGAAGATGAAGTGGATGGAGAGAAGCTAGCAAGGTGGTAGAAGTGACTCATTGCTGCATAATGCTGGTCTCATTACTCAAAAAGGTCAAGTCACAGGGCTAAAAACAACTTTTAAAGGAAAGAAGGACATGAGAGGTTGCTTCATCGATCAATGCAGTGACATAGCCAGTTCCCAGAAAAGAGGCATCAGTTAGAAAGAAGCTTTGGGGGTAATTTGAGAAGCATTTTCTTCTTGCAAGCTAAGTCATCCAGTTATGTGCTTTGCATTTTAGAATTGTTGGGGCCATGAGAGGAATCACAAATAGGGTTATCTCTTCAAGTGCAATAGTAACTGAAGAAGCTGATTTAGGGGAGAGATGGCTGCTGCGGGCCCACTATTGAGATCAGAATCCCTAGGCTGTGTGTGTGGGGCCCTCATTAGCACTGGCTTTCATGGGTGGTGGTGGAGAGGGTGTATATATGGTGCAAGATGGCATATCAGCCTCAGATTAGGTGCATCTAGTGTCTGATCTATAGAACCTTGGGTTTCTGGATACAAAGGGTAAAGAGTGTAGATGAAATCAGTTTTGTCCATCCAGTTCTCCCCTTCTGCCTTTGTTTCCAATCCATGTCTCAGGCTTGGACTTGAAGTAGATCTATGCATGATTCCTCCATTCTCTC